AGCCGAGAGGCGGGAGGCTGCGGAGGAGGGAGGCGGGCAGGCAGACCTGTTGGGCTGCTGTTGTGACATCAGGTGAGAGCAGGTGCCTGATCCGGGCTGTGGCTCTGAGGATGGAGAAAGGACACGAGTACCGGCCATCGCCCTGGGTGGCCTGAGAGGACAGGGCAGGGGCGAGGGAAGCCGGGCTTGCGTGATGGGGTGGCCAGGAGGAGGGGAAGGCCAGGCCAGGGTGTCGGCAGGCTGGTGCCCTCTGAGGCTGAGCCCGTCCCAGCCTCTCTCCCGGCGGCTGGGTCGGCTGGCACCTACGGGGGTGCTTGGCTTGTAGACACATGGCCCGATCTCTGCCTGCACGTCTCATCACGCTCTCCCCGTGCGTCTGCGTCCAGATGTCCCTTTCATGAGGACACAGTCACGCTGGATCAGGGGCCCGCCCTGCTGCAGCGTCACCTCCTCTTAGCTCATCACCTCTGCACCCGCCCCACTTCCCGGTCGGGCCGCATTCTGGGGTCCTGGGGCCGGGCATCGGTGTATGAATTGGGGGGCACAGTAACCTGTCACCGCCGCCATCACCGGTGCCTGTGAATATGGAGGGTGCACCCGGGGGAGGCCCTGGGGCTGGTCCGATGCACTTGGAGTGCAGGCCGTTTCCCAGGGGTCCGCTCGGGTTGGCAGAGCTGGCCGCCTCCCCTTCTGAGGACGGTGAGCCGTTGGGGCCCGGGGGTCCATTCCCTTCCCCGCCACCTCCTTGGGCACGCACCGAGGGGCTCTGGCCTGAGAGCATCTGACTCTCCGCTGGCCACGACCACAGCCTCGTCCTCATGCCCCGGGCCAAGCCTGCGGGAACTCGGCTCTTGCCATCACGGCTGCTACTAGCACCCACCAGCCCACCACCACCCACAGACCTGTGGAGGGTGTACGTGCCAGGGCTGTGCCCAGGCTGCCCAGGGTACCCACGTGTCCTCGTCACAGGCTCAGGACAGGAACCCCCGCTTGGCTGGGGACACCCGTAACACTAACGCCTCGATAGGAAACAATTCCGTCTCCGGACACAGTGCAACCGGCCCGCGGCCCGGGCACCAGACAGATGTTACTGTTCTGCAGATGAGTTTGGGATGGTGGACAGGAATGAAACATTACAGCCCTGGGGGAGCCCCCCGATGTGTGCCCTCGTACACACTGATGTGTCCCACACGCCATGCTTACATGGGTCCCCACATCTGCCGTGGCCACACACAAAGGGCCCCGGTGTCGCGCGCCTTCAGGCCACACCCGCGGCTCCACGCGGACAGGCTGGGCCCGGCC